CTCTGTGGCTGCCAAGTAACCAGTGCTCCAACCGGAAGCCCAGGCGTCATGACGTCATTATTAGGGGGTGTGGTTTGTGACCTGAGCGCCAAGGCTGCCCACTGTGTATTCCGTAGAGCTCAGAGGGCCACAGGATGCCACGAGCCCTGTGGGTAGAAGGTTCTGCACAGAATATTAGTGGGGATCTGCGGGAATCCATTCCATCAGGTCATCTGCTCCTTCCCCGGGTGGGAGCCATCAGGACAGGTCTCCATGGGGCCTAGAGAGCCCAGACTGCAGCTCAAGGAGGCCCCGGAGTATGAGATGGTGTCATCAAGCCTGGATGGGGGCAGAGACACAAATCCGTGCGTGTCTGTGTGCGTGCGTGCGTGCGTGTGTGTGTGGTTGTGTGAGGACAAAGAGGTCTGGGCTGCATCAGGCAAACATAATTCAACTCTGTTGGATTAAAAGACCGAAGGAGCCCAGTGTAGTGATGCATGCTTGTAATCCCAGTACTCTGGGAGGCTGACGCAGGCAGACCACAAATTGGAGCTCAGGCTGGGGAAGTTAGTGATTTAGCAAGACTTTGGCTCAAAAATCCAATCAAAGCAAAATGAAATAGGCTTGAGGAGACAGCTCAGCGAGGAGGTCCCACATTTAATCCTCAACACTGCAAAAATAAACATAAAATAAAATAAACCAACTGAGGCAAGATGGTACTGGGTGTAACATAACCTGCAGTAGCCCGTGGTATTGCTTATCCTAACATGAAAAGCTGGCGATAGGAAGGAAGCCCCCAACATCTCATTTCCCTCAAACATTGTATTGTTAGAGGTCCTATTTGTATATCTCGTTCAGAGTGAATGTGTATGCTGACGGAGACAGAAACTGTCCTATGGTGTCCTCCCGGCCTGAGCGGAGACAAAGGGCAAAGTCTTGGGCCTCAGCTACTCAGCAATTTTCAAGAACCCCTTTCAGGAGTAAGCAGGGCATGAGGGAGTCCAGGAAAGGGTACCCTAGCTAGGGTGTCTGGCTGGGAGGTGGAGTAAGTAGCTGACTTGAATTTTTGTTTCCGAGACACAGGGGCCTCTTTTCCTTTTCTAAGAGTGGGTCAAGGTAGGACAATTCCAAAGGCTGTTATGCATGCCTAGCTTAGGCCAGTTGTGCTGCAGAAAGAGGATGGGAACTGCCTCTCAGCCTAGGCTGAGTACAGAGATGAAGCTGGGCCAGGTCTGTGTGGGGTTGAAGGCATTTTAGCCTCAACAGCCCTCAATGTGTGTGTGCCCTGGGTGGCTGGCACTGTGGCTTCCGTGCTATCATTTGGACCATGGCCTCTTGCCTGGAGCACAGCCGCCCTCCTGCCATTCCTTCTGTCTGTCCTGCACACCTGTCCCTCTTGTTTCCTTAGTGGAGCCCATGCCCTCTCTTTCCCTTGTTGCCCTCTCTTCCATGTTCTCCTTCTTCATTTGGTTGGAGCACATCCTGCAGTAGCTGGAAGATGGCAGATAGGAAATAATGCCTTTAACACTTCCCCTATTCAAATGTCTTTATTTTAATTCACTTTTTATTGTCATTTTGGTTAAGTAAAAGATTCCAGGCCCCGACACCACTCTGTGTTGGCATTTCGAAGGCACGTTCTGTTGTCTGTCAGCTTGCTCTGCTGCTGCTGTTGAAAATTCAGGAGGTGCTCTCATCTCTTTTTCATGGCACTTGGAAGCCAGAGGGAACTTTCTTTGTTTTCTGTACTAGTGTCCCTTGATGTGGGTTAATTTCCACCCATTGTGTATAGAACTGGAAAACTCATTTTCATTTCTGGAAACATTTCTTGGATTAAATAACTTGTGATTCTTTCTCTGTCTTTCTGTCTGTCTGTCTGTCTGTCTCTCTCTGGAGGATTCCTTTGTGTAGATGCTAACTTTCATGAATGTGGCATCTAATTTTTCCTCCTTTCTTTCTTATATTTTCCTCTTTGTGTGTTTGCTGTGCCTTCTGGGACATTCACTTACTTTTATCTTCCAACCAGTCTGTTGAGGGTTTTTTTTTTCCCCCAGCTCTCATGCTTTTAATTTCCCAGTCCTTTTTGTTCTCTAAATGTTCTCCTTAAAATAGCATTCTGCTCCTGGTTCTGGGATGCAATATCTCCTCTGATCTCTTCGAGGATATTAAATATGGCTATTTCTGATATTTTCTCCTCCTTGCCTAAGTCTGTTTCTTCAAAGCTCCACCCACCCACCTGCCCCCATCCTGGCGGTTGTTTTGCTAGGTTTTCTCCTAGGGGTTGTCTAGAGGGCTCAAGTGGGCCTCAAGGGAGGGCAGCTCAGGGCTGGGTGGGGCTGTGCCTGGAGCTGCCCTCTGGAGAGATGGGCTGGGGTCTTGGCTGAGAAGTGACACAGCTGTCTTTTGGAGGCTTCTCTATTCTGGCCAATTTCCTCTAGAAGACACTCATCTGATGGCTGGGTTGGAGGGTGAAGATCTGAGTTGGCGCTGTAGGGCGGAGAGGACTCTGCCAGGATGCTTTCCTCTCCTTTCTTTGGCGCCCCAGAGAAAGCCCTTAGGGCCATCTGGTCCTCTCCAATCTGCTGGTCCCTCTTCCCCAGATCCCCGGCCTGCTGGTTCTGAGCCTCCCAGGGTTTTGCTTGTCACCTCTATGGGCTGTGCCATCCAGCCTTGGCTTTCCTGTGGCCTACAGCTGGTTACTGTTGCCTTGTCTTCTGCTCTCCAATTTGTGAGGATTTTTTTTTTTTAACCTTAAAAAACCCTGTTTTGTAGTTTTAGTGAGATTTTCTCAGGTAGCAAAGTGGTCTGTGCCTGGTTGCCAGCCTGAGTGAACCCCTCTTTGTTTCTTTTCTAAATGTTCCTGCAAGGGACTGCTCCCAGTGCCTCCCCACACATTTGTGTCTTTAAAAAGAAAATTTCCAAATTAGAGGTGTACCCCCATGGGTCAGCTACCTGGTTGGGCCCCCAGGAAGATGCACTGACTGGCCTTCATGCCCTCCTCCGGACGGGGCCCTGTAGTCAGCCGCTGGGCCTGAAGTGCAAGCCACCCTGGGGCCTGCCCCCAAAGAACAACTGGGTAAGCAGGTGCCTCAGCTGCTTAGCTGCAGGTGCGAACTTCAATTCCTGTCTGGCTGTCCACACGGTCTGACTCCGTGCCTGGCTCTGGGATGGCATTGGGTGGAGCATGGTGTTGTCTTCCAAGGGTTTCCAGAAAGACCTGGGGGAGTGAGGACGGGGACTCACAGTCATAGCTCTCCACTCCTGCGCCTGCCCGCAGCTGTGCCAGGTACACGTGTCCTGCCCCTTCCTGGCACGTGCAGCTGTGTGGGTGGCTGAAGACTTGCGTCTTTGGGAGGCTCCTGGGAGGAGGTGCTGGACAGCCAGGAGACCTGGACAGACAGAAAGGACTCCAAGGCAGGAAGAACATGGACAACAGGGACAGGGGCACTGCAATGCAGTGCAGGGAGGCAAGAGGCCTGCCATAGGCAGACAGGTGAGTGATGGGGCGGGGGTGGGCCTAGCCACTAGTCACCGGCCCCAGAAGCCTGGGCCATCTGACAGCAGAGGACAGAGAGAGCCAATTAGGTCTTTTGAGTAGGGATGTGCCATTTCAAATCCAGGCTGGGGAAAGTTCACTCAACCAAGCAGCTGCCTCCCTCGAAGACAAGGCATTTATCTGGTGGTTAGCTGCAGAGCCAAGCAGCTGACTTGGAATTGTAGAGCATGATTCCCACCGGCCACGACAGATCAATGGTCCAGATAGGCCGAAGGGCCAGAAATTAAAAGCATTAAGCTCTTGAGTGGGCAGCCACTTGTCTTGGGCACTGCCTCTCATCGCTCTGCAGGGAAGGCAGCCAGTAGCCTGGAGCCCAGCACAGCACCACACACCCCTCCCCTTAGGGCTCTGAATCTTGCAATTCAGGATTCCCACTAAACCCCAGCTTCTCGCTGTACAGTCAGGTGCAAGGAGGAGTCTGACTGTTCCAGAAGCAGCATGCGGGAGTCAAGGCCACCTGGGGACATGTTTTTCATTTGTTTTGAGAAGGAAAAGGTCCTCAGGGGTTGCTGTTCACTGTCTGGGGCCTGCCCAAACCTGTTTGGGATGTCCAGGCCCCTTGTTTATCTCTGGTGTCAACGCCAAAGCCTGAGCCCACTGCCCCTCCTGAGTCTCACCCTGCCAGCCCGAGGGATCCCATCTACTTCCCAGTCTCTGCTCCCCATTCCAAGGCTAGACTCCATAGCAGGACCTCTTACCCTGGGTTGGGACAGGATGTCCCGGCTCTCAGGATTTTAGGCAAATCCTGGTGGAAATGTTGAGAGTGATCCGGTTGCTGGTTGGCCAATCTAGGCAATGCTGGGGCTGGATCTCAGAGTGGGCCTGGTAACTTTATTCTGAGGGCCAGGAAGACATTAATGTGGATAGTGAGAGAGAAGGCTGTGGAACCAGCTGGGAGGGGACATCCATCTTTCTTGCTCTATGACAAGTCCTGTTTTGGGGGACCCCAGAGATAGGCAGGAGTATAGTTGGGGGGGTACTGCTGAGGGCTACCTGGATTGGCTTGCCCCAAGATCCATCTCAGTGGGTGTGGGGAGAAAAGGTGGGGACCCTGGGCAGTGCTTCAGAAGACCAGGGCAGCACTGGTCTCTGGGGGTGCCCTGTGCGTGTTGCCCATCACGTTATGACCCTGCTCCACTGGGCTGACTGTGGGTCGCCAGAGTCCCCACTTTATCTGCCCACGGCCCACCCCCCATCCCCTGGCCTCGCCACCGCCTGAACCCCCTCCCTCAGAATGCGCTGCGCTCGCTGAGCCGCCTTTTCACTCCAGCCGAGCCAGCCAGAGGAGAGAGAGAGAGAGAGAGAGAGAGAGAGAGAGAGAGAGAGAGAGAGTCGTGCGCGCGAGAGACGAGAGGAGAGGAGGAGCGGAAAGGAGAGGAGCGGAGAGAGAGGAGCTGAGAGGAGCGGCGGCGGCAGCGCGGAGCCTCCCCGGACAGCGGCGCGGCGCGGCCCCCAGCAGCTCGCGTGGTCGTTGGAGACGCCGCGGCCGCCGCCCCAGCCCGGCCTCGGTGCCCCTCGCCACCGGTTCGCCGGTGCGGCCAGGATGAAGCCGGGGCATGGCCGCCGGTGCCCCGTCACCTGCCGCGGGGAGCGTAGAGCCTGTGAGTAGCCGGATCCTGTCGGGCGCCTCTCCCTGTCATCACCATCGCGACGCGCGAGCTGGGGGTGGGGGCATGGCCTGGGGAGGGGCGCTCGGGACCCCGGAGCGAGAGGCGGGGCTGGCGAGAGCTTGGGGCTGCAGGGCAGAACAGAGGTCGCTCTGGGAGGGGTGATGCCCTTGGGGTCATGGGTCCGGGCGAGGGGTTTTCCAATTTCCTCGGGGACTGGGGTCCAGGAGCTTGTGCCCGCCCGCAGGGGACCAGGAGGCGATTTTGTGAATGGAAAGGCCCGGGGTCAGGCTTGATGGAGACGCCGGGGAGTCCCGCGCGTGGCGTGACCATGTCGGCAGCGGCGGAGGCACAATGCCCGGCTCGGGGAACTCCCCGGCGGGGGAGGCCGAGGCGCACGGAGATCCCGGCCCGCGGGTCGCATCTAGGGAGGCGGCCCAAGCTGCACGCAGGCCTGAGGGAGTCCTGACAGGGGTCCTTTTTTTAGAAGAGTCGCTGGAAAGGTGGAAGACCCTGAGGAGCTGTGGGAAGGAATGGGTCCCCAGATCCCCAAGAAGACCAGGGCCCAGGCGGCGCGGAGTGCGCGGGGGCAGAGCAGCGGGGGCGGTCTCGCGCAGGGCCCTCCAAGGGGCGGCAATGGGGGAGACTGGGGAGTGGCTGAGCCAGGTTTGGGGCTGCCTTTTCCGAGCTTCGACTGCCCCCCCCCCCCACACCGGTGCAGCCCGGCCGGGAAGCCACGCCAGGGCACCTGGCACACCCCTGGCAGCCCAAACTTTCTGCCCTAATGCCTCGGAAAGCAGCGGGGCTTGCCCTCGAGACAGCGGTCTCCTGCGGTGTCTCAGGGCTAGCGAGGCCGGCAGTTGTTGGGGGCTTTGGGTCGCAGCCTCACTCCTTACACCGCGGCGCGGAGCCTCCCCTGGCGCGTGGCCCCGCAGTGCACCCAGTCTGTGTGCGACCGAGACGCGGCGACCAGCGTGCTAAGCGGCCCGGGGATCCAGGGTCTCACGTGGAGTGGGGGGTGGGATGTTTCCGGAGTCTGCTGGCCGGGGCCTAGCGAGGTGCATCGAAACTCCTGGATGACCCAGCTGTCTCTCTTGTGCTCTCGCTTTCAGGGACTCTTTATTTAATGGTCACTTTTAAAAGGACTCCCGCGGGGCCGCTAGTCCCAGGGCGCGAGACACAAGGCGGTGCAGAGGGCTGGGGCGGAGGGATCCGGCCCTGGGAGAGTCCCCTCCTCCGGCAGCTGGAGCTGAACTGGTTCTTCCCTCGGGCCGGCCAGGTCGTTAATTTCCTGCCTATAAAGCCGGCTTGGATGCGGACGCACTAGGCGCGCACCCGGGAGCCCAGGGCACTTAGCGCGGAGCAGGTACGGGCTAATGGAGTGGGGTCTCCTGTAATGAGGTCTTTTAGCCAGAAGCCTGCTTTGGTTTTACTAGTCTGCAAAAAATAATGAAAAGAAAGTATAAACATTGCGGCAGAGCGTGCTCATTAAGTGTGAATCGCGGACTCGGGGCGGATGTCTTAATTAGGCTGCGTTGTTAACGGGGATATTACACTAATTAAAACCAGACCCTCCAGGTGAGCGAAAATTGTGAAGGGAGAGGGGGAGAAAGTTGTAGGGAAAGCGCGGGCTGATGAAAGCTGGGGGCTGGCGGCGCGGAGGCCGCTGGGTGCTGGCAGGTGGGGGCCGGGGAGGCTTTGGGGGCGGAGGGGCGCCTTTTTAGGGCCTCCTACCCCGCCCTTGCCCTCCTCCCCGCCCTGCGAGCCAAAAGCTCCCTTGGGCGGGTGCGTGAGAAGGAGAACGGAGGCTGCCACCCCCGCCCCTCCCCGGGGACTGGAGGCCTCCCTGCGTGGGCGCCGGGCTCGCCGCGCACTCCTGGAAGCAACGCTTAACCCCTCATTTCTCGGCTGGGAGATTATTCTGGGAATGCTGAGCTGTCTCTAGGAGGGTGAGGGAGTGGGCGAGGTGGGGAACCCCAAAGGTTAAGGAACAGAGGAAAAAGGCCGAGACAGCCTGGCTTGGTAGGCAACTGCCTGCCAGGAGAGGGGTTGATAGTGGAGCGTGGGCTGGAGCCACCAGCGTTTTCTGGCCTGAGTTCCCCGTTTCTAACAGCAACCTCCCCCTTCTTTCCCCAACTCCTCGCCAAGAAGGAGCATTGTCGATCGCCCTGGTCTACCTTCCCTAGGGGCCAGGGGACGAGAAAGATTTGCGTCCACCTATGGCCTAAGTGGCCTCAGCAGAAGCCGAGTCTGAGAAAGTGCCCTTAGGCTCGGTCCCTGACGCTGCTATGCCCCTGGTGCTAATGCACTGTCCGGTGACCTAGGGCCGAGCGGCAGCGGGGGAGGATGTATTCACTGTCCTTCTGCGGGGACCAGAGGCTGGGCTGAAAGAAGAGGGCTCTGCCACGCAGCTTGCCGCCGGCCAGGACCAAGGACAGGGCCAAGGCGCGCGAGGCACAGACCTAACCCATCCCCCTTATGGGGTGGGGTGGGGGGGGAGGGCAGGGCTCTCTGGGCACATCCAGCCTGGCAGCCCAGGGCCAGCAAAAAGGTAATTACAGCGAGAGGTCTCCTGGGTACCATTAAGGGAACAGGCCTTCTGTCCTGTTCCTGCCACTTCTCAACCCTGAATTAGGCGAAATGAAGAGAGAAATGAAGCTCTCAGTATCTAGGGATGCACTAAGCACTGGAGTAGTCAGAGAAAATGCCATTCCCAGTTCTGATCTTGACCTTGGCCACTGTGGTTCAGCCTGGTGCTGCTTCTCCCCTGAAGCCTTCTTTGCCTTCCCACCCCCAGCCTAGCTTCACCCTTGCCCACTGCCCCTTTGCTCTGCCTGTACAAGTTGCAGGTACCTTGCTCCTAAGGGCAGGATCTTGGCTGATCACCACCCCCCTCCGCCCACCCCAGTGCAGAGCATTATCTGAGTCATGCTTGTGGGATTAGAAGGGACAGCATGCACAGTGGCACTGGCGTCCCACCCAGAGGTGCTGGGGACGGCGGGGGCAGCGAGGGGCAGAGAACATGTCCGTGGGCACGGAGCGACCATGCTACGTGGGAAATTGAAATGTATCTCAGCGGCTGTGGCGTGGGGCTCACCTCTTCCGGCCCATCCGTGTGCCTGCAATCCTTGGTCGGTTGTCTTTCTGTATTTATTTATTTCCTCACTCTGGCTCGATACTCTGTTATAAAGACAAATGGAACCTGACACACAGCTGACATGCGGTGAGGAATTTTTTATTTTTAAACAAGTGAAGGGAAAAACCATCTTGAAAGTTTCCGCCTTCCACAAAGATGCTTTTCCTAGGGAGCCTGGCTCTTCCCAAACCCTCACTTGTAGGTCCTGCTTCTGGCCCAGGCATGGAGTGGGTGCATCTCATTTGCCCCTACATCTTTTTGATGAGCTGCAGTTTCTCTCTTTATTCTTTTAGATTTTTGCAGCCTCATGGAACATCCAGGTGGCCGAAGATAGTGGGCCAGGGCTGTAGCCCAATGGTGTGAATGCCTGCTTAGCATCTCATTGTCTTCTGTCTCTCCCAAGTTGGCTGCTCACAGAGCCGTTGTGGTTTCTTTCTTGTTTATGATATTCTGGTTCCACCTCCTTCTCTTAGTGTCTCTCTCTTTCCCCCCTCTTGCTTTCACGTATTTGTGTGATTCTTTCTTGCCATACCTGAGAGACTGGTGACCAGGTGCGTGGTGTGAGGAGTAGAGTGATTTCTCTGCAGTTGGGCCTGGTCTGTGTTGGGTATCTACAGACAGAGGATAAATACCCTTCCTTAAAGAAATGCCTCCTGAGCTGGGTGTGTGATGGTGCGTGCTTGTCATCCTGGTCATTTGAGAGGCTTAGGTAGGAGGATTACAGATTTGAGCCCAATCTGGTCAATTTTAGTGACTTAGAGACCCTGTCTCCAAAGAAAAGTGCTAGGAATGTAGCTCAGTGCAAAGGCCCTGGGTTCAGTTCCTAGGACAAAATCAAAATGAAACAAGACAAAACACAAAATGAAACAAACAAAAAAACCCTGCCAAAACCAAAAACCACAAAAACCTCGTGGCCTATACTGATGTGGCTCACACACCTTTCTGGTGCAGCACACTTAGTAAATTAGTGGGCTATTACAGTTTCTCCAACGCTTAAGCTGACACCAAAACATGCCTTGAAAGGTGACTTGAGATAATAAAGAGTATAAAATCTGTTACTTTATTTGAAAGTGTTTTGTCTGGCAGCCCCGGGCAAGCTCACAGACTGTAAATTGCACTTTGCAAAGTGGTGCCGGAGTCTGGAGGGAAGGGGCAGGGCTGAGCGCCTCTCCTGAGGGGATGGGGGGGGTCTCTTTGAGGGTCCACCAGCGGGCAGGTGCCCATGACCTGGGGAAGGACTGTGGACCTTAGAGGTCTGCAGATGTGCTGCGCTGCGGGGTGGAGCGCTTGTGAGCATACTGACCAGCATGACGACAGAGGTGTAAATGTCTCTGTTCTCCAGTAGCAAAGCGGAGCAGGGCATCCTTTCTGGGCCTTGGACCTTTGCCTGCTCTGTGCGAGGCAGCCTCCATTCTGTGTGTCAGCTGGTCACCCCCATTCTCTGGGTCTCAGCAGGCAAGCTCCGAGGGGCCTTTCCCGCCCTCTTCCTTCCTCTTGTGGCTGCACCCAGCCAGCTCTTTTTTTTTTTTTGCTTAAAGCATCGGCAATGGAGGCCTTTCCATCAAAGAGTCAGAGAGAAAGAGACAGCCAAACCTGAGGGAGATGGGCTGCCTGTGGAGGGTCCCACCGGCAGGGGCACAAGCTGTGGGCTCTGGGAGATTGTTGGAAGCAAAAACAAAACAAAACACCTCATCTTCCTTTGTCTCTACTCCTGCATGGCCAAGGGCCAGCTCTTGCTGGTGACCTTGGCCAAGAGGGGGCTTGTGACTTGTGTCATCCCACGCTGGGGTCTTCAGGATTTACAGTTTTCTCTGAGGACAAAGAGCAGAGAGGTCCAAATGATTGCAGGTTTTCTTTT